ATATTATAAAACTTTTCATATGATCACATGTGATACAACAGTGCCTCTAACAACATTTATCTAAATTCTCTGCCAGTGTTCTAAACCGACTCCTTTATTTGCTGTAAATTTGAATATGTAAACGGATTTCAAAATGTTATTTTAAGCTCCAGAGCTGCTAAGAATATTTTATCATGAAAGGTACTGTTTGAATGTTATCTGCTGCATGGAATATGGAATGAAAGTGGGTTTTGAGGATCTTTTCACAGCCCCGTTAGTATCAGCCCCTGTTCTTTCCATATGACAAATTTGTTAAAACCATATTCATGTTAAGAACATCAATTTTCACAAAAGTGCTGCTAACACCTCTTGGAGTTTTGTTTAAAAATATTAATGTGCAACTCTTATTTTAATCACAAATACTGTACACTGGCATGTGTCAACAGAAGATGATACAATAGCAGAGTACCATTTTACAGAAAGTGGGGGAAATGGATTAGACCCAAAGATATCTCTATTTCATTTAGTGCCTGAAATTGCTTAATTCCATTAAAACCAAAACTGAAATACATAACATATTCCCTGAAGGAACTGTGATGTGCTTTACAACAAGCAATGAAATAAATTTCACTATGAAACAACCATCTTTGCAGTAAACAATATTCAAGTGAGAAACAAAATGTTAAGAGACTTGCTAAAACCCTGCTGTATCTCCCCTCTCTTTCCTGGGACACTCACACACCCCAACTGCCAGTGCTGGACTGTTGGATGAACTGGATCCCAAAGCCACAGGACTCCAAACTCGGACATCTGCCCCAGAAACAACTGTTTCTTGAGTTACCGGACATCACTACACTCCTTTAATGAAAGCAAGTTCATTACATATTATAAGTGTATTTCAAAACTAACACATTTTCAACAATTGTATCTTTCAATCTCATATTAAGCTAATTTTTAACTACTGGTACCTCCTTCCCAACAGATTACCTTGCTGCTGGGGCTGTGGATATGGAGAACAACCAGCTTCTTTAAATTTGGTTCTCAAGACACAAAAAAAAGCAAAAAAAAAAAAGGAACTTCCAAACAATTACTTTAGATTCATAATATTTGGCCTTAACTTTTGCCATTATCCCAAATCCCAATCCCAAAGATGACAAAGTATTTCTACTCAAAATCACGTTTTGCAGTACAAGTGCTGTAACATCCTGGTCCCACTGAAGGTATTATGGTCCTACTTAATTCAGTGGCAGGCTTCCCATGTCGGTGGATGAGAACTGGCCAGCTGATGATTACCAGTGGGATAAAAAGTATGTCTTTGTCTCTTTTCTGTACAAGGCCAGCATGTGATACAAGTGCTTTGCCAATGGAAAAGTCTGTCCAAGGTCAGTTGCTCTGTTACCAAAGGGTCTAACACATCAGCCAATAAGAAAGTAATGCTGAAAACTGCTTTGAGAAGCAAATCATTCTGACACAGCTCAGGACTGTAAAACCTCTAACCTCCTTTACACTTTAGAGAGCCTAAACCTAAATTGTAATAAAATACTAGAGTAAATATACAACCTGATGAATACATTATTAACAGCAATGAATAGCTATTATACAGCACTCCAACTGGACTGCTTTCTTTCTGAACAAACATACATCAGAAAACAAACATGAGATGTTTCCTGGGGAATTTCAGGTACACCCAATGGCTCTGTTAGTTCATTTTGGCTCACTAAGAAACACTAATGTTGCAGCTCATTCTCAATTTGACTGCTAAAATATTTTCCTTTATCAGATCAACACTCTTCCTATAGTAAAGATCTGCAAGAAACGGAAAGCCTAAAAGGATTTGGGGCACTTGGGGGGGAGGGAGGAAATATGTTTGTGTTATATGAAATTCATTTATCCAAAACTGGGATTTTGTGAAAAGTATAAAGTTACATGAAAAATCAGCTAAGCAACCATTGAAATAGCCTGTCTCCTTTAATCTGCATATTCTGCCTATCCAGATAATGACTCATTCCATAAACACTTTAAAGCTTTATATACCACTGTCATGTTTTTTAACAGAAGTTTATCATTTACAAGTAGCAAGAACTTAAAAATTTTATCCTGGAATCACTCTAATGTGTGTGCAAAAACGAAAAATGAAGGACTTAAAATTAGCAAACCTCAAGAAGCTCCATCATATTCAGCAGAACTATTAGGACTGTGCTTTTTATGAGGGTCATAGGCTTTGCAAAAACGAGCAATAGGTTACTACAAAAAAGTTCACAAAAGCAGCATGGAGAAGTTTTCCAATGTTCAGATGACTTTTAGCTGAGTTTGATACTAATATTCCTGCCTGCTTTTTCCAGCATCTCCTGATTTCACAGAAATACCTCCTTATGAAAACAAACTTCCCTGAGTGCTCACTTGGTTGGTGCTTTTGACGAAACAGTGAAAAGATGTGGAGCTTTGGAAAAAATGGAACACATGGAACCAAGACAATCTCCTAAACAGAGACAAGTAGGATAACTCCAATTCCCAGAAACAGCTGCTGTCTTCTTCTAAAAAATAAATCTTAGTGACCTTGAGCCAACTTACGATTTTGCATTGAAGAAATATATATATATATTTCTTCATACATAAAATGTAGACATAAAATACATAAAATGTACAAAGTGAAATGAAAACCAAAAGTAACCAACTTACAGTCCTTGAAACAAGTGGAATGTTACAAGAAGCTTGGATGGCTACAACTCAATCATGACAGAACACAATTCAGTTTTGCAAAGCATTCAACTACATCCTTAAAGGAATGGTTGCTGGGTTGTTTTTCCTGTTGTTGCTGCACCTTAAGGATAAGGGGTTTTTTAACTATTAAAGTTCAAGACTTCTGTTTATTACCATAAATATAGAGAGAACAGTAAATACCAGATCTGGGTTATCAAGCTTCCCAGCTCTACCAGTGTTATGTGCACTATAACTATGTGCAGGTCTATATTCTGAATACTGCTTTATCAGTGGGAAATTTGTGACCACTAACATGCCAAAAACCAACCTGACATTTACCATTTCACTTGTGCAATAAATTGCTTGATAAACCTGTATCTAGTTTCAGTTTTCTGATCTGCTGGAACATGTTCATTCCTGTCCTAGTGCAACTCACCTGCCTCAATTAACCCAGTTTATTGTGTAACAATGTAAGCAAAACACCTGGAGTCCTTCTAGCTGGAATTACATCCTCCAGAATTCCTAACAGGCGAGCTGGCAAATTGAGCAGACTAAATACATACCAGCAGCTTTAAAATAAAACATACGAAATGGATTAAAAAAAAAAAAAAAAAAAAGAAGAAAGAAAAGAGATGATGGCATAAACCAAGAGTTCAGGGGATACGGAGTTAAGGACTAGCATGGGAACCATGCCAACAGCCTGGTTATTTTTAATCAAAAATGTTACTTTCTTTCTGTGCTGCCCATTCCAAAAAGGTTGAAGTGGCTCAGGCCATTTTAACACAGTTAAGGGAATTTTTCTGCCAGCTGTTTTCAGATGCTGGCACATAAATCTGACAGAAAAATTACATTCAGCTCCATGACTTTATATATTAGTAATGTGACTGCTTTCACTGCACTGCCAAGTAAGCTTCGTTCTCACCCATTTTTTACCAAGTGTACAAGTATCTGTGGAAGTTCTTTAGATAGAATTATTGGTTTAGTTCATCATCAATCAAGTTGGTGTCGATGGATGTTATATAAACTGTTGGCACGAGAAAATGAATGCCAGTGCATATAGGTACATAACGCATCAAAAACTCACTTGGATGAAACCAGGACAAATTAGAACTGATAAGACCACCCTACAAAAGGTCCAGACGTTTGGTTTTCTTGGACTCTGGGTAGTTTATATTATTTCTTCCATTTTTGAAGAGTCACTTTTTTTTGTACAATTATGGAGCTCACATTACAACTCAGACTGTTGCCCATAATAAACTCCCATCCACAGGCAATGTTTCTGTGGAACTCAGTAAAGCTCCAGCAGCAATTAAGGGCAAGAAAGTAGAAAAGAAGAAAGAAGCAATTCCATAATGAGCTTTTTCCTTTCTTCTACCTGAGCAGCAGCTGAGATTCTCACCAGCCACAAGTGAGATAAAGCAGTTGTCCAACAGGAATACTGGGATTTGGAACTTCCAGTACAGTTCCATCAAAGACTACACCAATTTTATTGTCTGCTCTGGCAATTTGTAAGATGGATTGACAGGTGAAGAGAAACTAAAGGGTGAGGAGCAGGTTTTATAAACCTGAACTGACTTCGCTTTCCAGTCCACTCAGAAGAATTGCCTCCAAAATATGCACAAATATAGACAAACCAAGGGCTTTGTAACTTGGGGACAGGACAGGTGATAACAGGGAAAGCCACAGTTCATAAATGCACACAAGACTGACATATATCTATATTAATTCCACATAACCTCTAAGTTGTAACCCCTGACACATATCTAGAAATATACCTCAAGATGTTATGTTAATGAAAATATTCAAGGACCATCTATGGTTTTGAATTAAGAACCTACTTCAGAATAAACAAATAACCTTGGATTGTGCAAATACCACTCTACCAAATTACCTCAATAAAATTTTGACATACTTTCTCTTCAAAAGAACTGAAATTTTAAGCAATCAGAAAATGCCCTTTCCTCCTCAAGCAGTCTTGATTCAATGTACATGAACAACCAATGCCTGGCTGGATTCCTGACTGCTCAGAGAAGGGCAATGGTGTGGGAAGGGAAAACACCACAGTTGAACCAACTAACAGGAAACGCCAAAGCCAGGTCAGATGCACAGGGAAATACATGGTAACAGGTCTGTGGTTTTTGTCATGCAAGATCAATCTAGAATTACAGACAGACAGTTATGATCAAAATACCTGTTTAATGATTTTCTCTTTCTTCTTCTTGACATCTATTTCACACTGCTCAGAAGGCCTTTCCTGCCAGAACCTCCACCCAGTTGCACTAGAGCACAAAGAAGGCTTCATTCACTGAGATGCAACTTACCCAAATAGTTGTTGCTCTTTGACATCTCAGTAATGTTGATTTTGGTAGCTCCTTCAGGAATTTCCACTATCTTGTGGTAGCCAAGATTTGTTAACGTGTGTTTGAAAACTCCAGACACCACCTTGCAAGCAGTGTTGTCCCCTCCACATATTCCACACTTGTCAATCACCTTGTCAGAACCCAGATAGTCGTCACAGCCAATGCTCTGCAAAATAAAGTAAGATTTCTTTTTCCAAGATCTTACAACTGCAGACTTTGGACATAATAACCAAGGACAGTATGACTTTCAGAGAACAATCAATTCTGAAACCATGTTGAGAATTAGCATTTCAGTAATGTCTTCCTTCGTTCATCACTATGAAAAAAGGCTAGAAGAGCTAAAGGGTTCACAGACTCAGGGTTTTAAAATCAGCTGACAGGTTTTTACATCCTGCTACCAAAAATACAAGAACACACTAGAGCAGTAATGCATTGTTCATCACTGACTGCATCCTCCTTGGCTGAAAGAACCTCTTAACAACACAGTTCCCATAGCTGCTAGTCAGAAAAGAAATGGAGAGCTGTGATTATAGTAGGATTCAAAGTGGGCTTTTTACAAAAGCAGAACCACTTGATATATTAAGGTTGTCCTAATCTCCTCTAAGACTGAACACTCGGCCTATTCTCACCAAAAGAGGTTTCTGAGATATCTTTATGCTGCACCTTGACAGTTTTGGAAGGGATCCTCCAGTTCACTGTGTAGGAAATCTTCAACCCACTCAGTAACACCCACTTGGACAGGATAATTCAAATTAAACAATTTCACCGAATCACATAATGGTTTGAGTTGGAAGGGACCTTGAAGATCATCTCAGTCCAACCCCCCTGCCATGGGCAGGGACACCTTCCACTAGACCAGGTTGCTCCAAGTCCCGTCCAACCTGGTCTTGAACAGTTCTAGAGATGGGGCATCCACAGCTTCTCTGGGTGTTTATAATAATGTAAATTAAAGGGTAGAAAAAAGGTTACAGATTTGACACAAACAAGAAAAAGAATCTTTCCAAGTTACTGCACTTTAAAAGTCTCTACGGTATGTTCACTACCTCCTGTTTTACAGAAACATTCCTGTTCATTGATCTTACTCGTTTGTACTTATAGACTTAAGGAAGTTTTATGATGAACACCTATCATCTACTTCTATGATTAACTGGTACATGTAAAAAAGAACTTCTCATTCTCATTCAAACAAGAATGAAATATTACATGAGCCAGAAGAACAGAATTTTATATCACAAATTTTATCAAATGTAATCTGGAGGTTGACACTAGACAATCTTTAAAGTTCCCTCCAACCCCAACCATTCTATCATTTTATGAATGTAGTAATTCAAAGTAAATTAAATTAATAAATAAATGAAAGAATAAATAAATAAGTAAGCCTTTTTAAGCATAAAAAAATCATTCATGATCACACTAAAGCTGAAAGTTGGGAAAGATGTTATAACAAGTTAAAAATACAGCAACAATGGAACAAATAAAAGGAAAAATCTAAAGTTGTTAACAGATAAATGAAGGAAATACTAGATCCACTTATGCTAAAGTTGAAATGTGATAAAAGCATGTAAACAACAAGGCAATTCTTCCATCACTTTTGATCTTACTATCAAGTGCTGGAGCCTTTTCTTTTTAACTAATCCCTGTTCTCCATTGTTCATGGTTCTTCTGTTAAGAGAATCACAGTTGACATTCCATCCTCATTTTAATAAACAGTTTCCTATATTCTACCCCGATTTCAAAGTTTTTCTTGCATGTCAGGTATCTTCTCCATATAAAGTCAGATGTTTTTACTTCCCAGGCCTTTCAAACAGAATGGTAAGATGTTAATAATTCAACCAGTAATGAAGTCAAGTGAACTGGCACATCAGAGATTTGGTGTTGTCCCAGGAACTCAGGTGTGGTGACCATTTGTGTAGCCCATAAAACAGCTTCCCTACAGCTGAGATGTTCATGTGGAGAGTTCTTCACTGACCAGGAACGCAACTGTGTTTTCTCAGAAACAACACTGTTATTTTTGGTCACAGTTTAAAAACCAATTTATCTATGAAATAAATCAGTTTCTGTTTTGTGACAACATAGAAAGCACTTCAGCATCCAGCCAAGGAAGAGATTTGATGTCCTGGAATTTTGATACTGGTTATGGCCTAATTATAGCCTGGAGATAAGTAGGAATTTGTGGTGTGCACAAGCAGTTGGAACGGTTGACAGCTAAACAGCACACAGACAAATCAACTGAATTTACTCCTAGAAACAGGTTTGAATTGGAGTTGGGTAAAGAGGAAGCTCCAGATCCTCAAGAGACGGTTTCAAAATAAGCAGCGGATACTTCATATATTTTGCTGACAATATCTTTAAGTTATTAAAGAGCAGAAAATTAGCTGCATTCAACTAGAAACTCTGTATTCCTCAGTATAAAATTTGGATTTATTTCTGAAAACTGCAGAAATGCCTGAATTGGGGTTCGCTATTACAGCATCATTGTGCTCAGGTATCAGAGACAAGACAGGCCCCCAAATCCTCTAAAACATGGCACATCACCAGGAGATACATACCACCAGCAGAATGCAGCTGCCAGAAACACAGGGAACACCAGGATGGCCAACAAAGAAAACCCTACAAGCCACACCCCCCTCCAAAATTACCTGGACTACTTCAGGAAACTGCATAAACTATTTTATCAAGACACTTTCACACAAGGACAAGGGATTACAACAAAAAGAGCTTGTCAGAATATACCAGACATCTGGGATTTCACTCCTGTGGTATTCCATCACTGTCTGATTCAGGAGAAACATCTGAGAGTGATCAACAAAGGAATTCCAGCAAGAACTGCAGAAATCATGAAGGAGTAGGGCTCCACAACAAGACTAGTCGAGTTTGGCTTTATTCCCAGCCATTGAAGCCAAAGGTATTATGTTCTTCAACATCAGCACATCAATTAACAATACTGGAAAATAAATAAAATCCCCTGATCCTTAAAGAAAACAGAAATAACTTCTGTCACAGATTTTGAAACACAATTTTATTATTCTGCTTCACCCCTTGTATCCTATGAAATACAAGAATAATGATGTCCACAAGGTGGCACTTACAATCCTCGTGAAATCAAAATGTAGAAGGTCTTTGCAAAAAGAAAAAGACAAAAAGGAAAAAAAGTTAATTTCTTACACCTCAGCGCAAAGTTTGTATTACACTTCTTTTCAAATGAGTCTTTATCACCTGAGTAACAACTGCTGATATTTTGTTATCAGTAACAGTTTCTTAAAATATCTCAATCAATCCAAAGATTTCTTTTGGTTTGGAATGTATTTTAATCTAAAATACAAATGTTGCACAAAACTGAAATGAAGGAGAAACTCTCAAAGTGTTTTTTTCTTGCATCATATGCTCTCCTTGTCTTGTGACCAGGTGGACTTCATTTATCAATGATAAATAAATATTTTAATCCAAATTCTGGTGTCTGTCCTCCAAAGGAATCCTCACTGACTTCGAAGTTGACATCAATGGGAAATTTGCCAAGTCACAGGGCTCAGGTTCCTTGTGGATTTGACAGGGCAGAATTATGTCAATTCTACGGTCTCACAATGCAAAATTTACTAGCAAATTTAAATGACTTTTAGATTTAAGTGTGTCAAACAGAAGTATATATATGTATACTTTTTTCCATTCACTTGAATTTCTGTTGTAAAATTAATCACTCCCACTGAATCTGTGGGAATGAGAAAGATGAAGTTTAGGAGCACCTGAGGAATTTTTAGGTACACAAATCTTTGGGACTGGACAGGAGGTAACCAAGGGTGCCAACAAAGCTGGGTGATTTCACAGTGAGGTCACAGTGGTTGGTGGGAATGCCTAAAAAGCAGCTGCCACATCCATCTTCATTAAGGGTAAGAAGGACCTGAGGCTCAGTTGCAGGTTGTGCACCCTAACAGCCCTCAGGAGACTGCAGAGTTGATCCTCCTGGAGGTCATTTCCAAACACATGGAGAAAAAAAAAAAAAGGGGGGAAAGAAAAAAAGAGAACAACCCTCATGAACACACCAGGGTCAAGTGGTGCCTGAACAGGCACAACTTGTCTTCTGTGGTTCAATGAGTTCAGCAGATAAGTGGAGAGCTTGAGTGGATGTTCTGTGCCTTGAGTTCAATGAGGCCTTCAACATCATCTCTCACAGTGTTCTTAAAGCCACACTGGAGAAATCCAGACTGGGAAAGGTGACAATAAAGTGAGGGGGAAACAACTGGATTGCAGACTTAATGGGTAGTGATCACTGCTCCAAAATCCAACTTACAGGTAACTACCAGTGGCCTCTCTCTGGGAGGGACACTGGAGTCAATCCTGTTAAACATTCCCTGTATGACGTGGGTGTTAAGATAGGAGTGTGCTGGCAGCAAATGCACAGATGACACCAAATTGCAGGGAGATGCTGGAAGCAGGACTGGACTGCTGCTTAGAGGTGTCTTTGCAGCCTGGTGGAAGGAGCAGACAGGAACCACATGAAGTTGAAATGGGAAGTTCTGTGTCTTGGATGGAATAACTCCATGCACCAGAACAGGCTGGGTCTCACTGGCTGGGAAGTAGCTCTGCAGTAAAGGACCTCAGGGACCTTGTGGACAAGAAATTGAGTGTGAACAAGCAACGTGCCCTTGCAGCAGAGACAGCAACTGCACAATGGACTGTTCCAGCAAAGGTGTGGTTGGGAGCTCAAGGAGGGGGACTGTGCCCTCTATTTGACATGAAAAATCTTAAAGCTTTGGCTCCTCATCTCTTGGAATTACAGTTTGTATTAATGGATTTAGATTGTTTTCCCGGACAGTTTCTGATACTTGCATCACAAGCCTTATTCCTTGTCTTCAATGAATCTCTCTCCTCTCTACTAGGAAGGACACTAGTTTTCTGTTTTAATTTTCCCCCCAAAACCTAAGCAAGGTTGCCTAGTGATTGGCTGGGTGGCTCTCTCCTCAGTGTGTGAACAAGCTGAGGATAACAATACTGCTTTTCTCTGGCCACTGTTAAAACCTTTGAACTTCATGTATGAACTTATAAACTCCTAAAATTAGATAAATATAATTCCTTCAATTTCTGTCTGTGACACGTACTAAATGAGGCACCAATGAAGATGTAATGACTGCTAGAGAGCAATAGCCAGCACATGCCATCATACCAGGAGTA